AAGGTGAGTCCATGCACTTCAGAGCGCTAGTGGGGCCTCGGTGGCAGAGGACTCATCCAACCAGGAGGAGAGAGAGGCCGGAGGTTGGGTGGAGGGTACCCAGGGGTCTTCAGGGCCCTGCCCAGCCCCACCCCACCCTCCACGTTCCTGTGAGGGGCTGTGTGACCCTGGGCACTGCACTCAACTTCTCTGACTCTGTCAGTGAGCAAGTGGTGGGGTGGCCCTGTGGTCAGGTGCAGGGGACTCTGAGCAGAAGGGGGTCCAAGAGAGGGGCCAGAAGATGCAGCTCTCAGGACCCCCAATGTCGGGAAAATGCCCAAGCTGATCGGGAGGCAGGCCTCTGGGGGCACACACGAGTGTCCTGTCTGGTGCTGACAGGGACAAGCTCCTAAGTGTCCAGCACCATCCAGAACCAGGTTCCCAGGCCATCCAGCCTCCCTGACCAAGAGGGGACACTGGGCGCACCTGGGCCACTCAGGGAGTTCCGAGGGGCTGAGGGGAAGGCAGCAGCATTGTATGGCCTTAACTCTACTTCAGATCTAGAGGAGACCTCCCACCCTACCAGACAGGAGCGACAGGAACACCCAGCCAACAGCTGTGGACTTGGGGTTAGTGGAAGATTGGAGTAGGATTTAATAAGGAACACGGAAGTACAGAAAGAGCAGGGGGGGCGGGGCGGGAGGGGGACAACCCAAAAAGAGGTGTTGCTGAGTCACCCCGACTCCTGGTCACCCACGGTGTCCGAGTGGAGTGGGGCCCGTCGGGGACTCAATGGTGGTTTCTCAGAAGTCCGTCCCCAGGCCTCTCTTCCAAGCAACCCTGGGTGGACTCAGCCCTCTGACCTTTGGGGGCGTAGCTGAGTCCTCCCAGGGACAGGACCTGTGAGCCCTCGGGCAGATGCAGTCCCCTGGTGAAAAGACCGTCCCACTGTGCTCACTGCCCTCGTGGGGTCTCACTGTGTGAACGTAGCCCCAGCTTCCTCGGAGCCACCACTGAGTGACCTTGCCATGCAGCTAAGCCCCGGACTAAAGAGGATGTGGGTGTGACTAAGGACTTGTCATCACTTTGTCCCCTGCCTGTGGGGCTGCAAACCCCAAGGTCAACAGTTCAAACCACCTAAAGAGTGACAGTCTCAGAGACTCGCAGGGGCAGTTCTACCCTGTCCTATGGGGTCGCTGTGAGTCATCCTCGACTGTGACAGTGAGTTTGGTTTTGGTTCGACTAGGAAGCCCTGGTGGTATCATCAGCTAAGCATTGGGCCAGGACCCACCAGGTGGTCAGTTCTAGCCCATAGCTGCTCTGTGGGGGAAAGAAGAGTCTGTCTGTTCCTGTAAAGACCGACAGCCACAGCAGCCCACAGGGGCAGTTGTACTCTGTCCTATGTGGGGTTCTTTGAGTTGGAATCAACTTGATGCCAGAGTTGATTTTTAAAATTTATTTTTGTACATGGATACGTGTGTTATAAATGGATACATTTACAGCACAGAGACACACATGGGGGCATCCATCTGTCAAACCGATATAGGCTCAAAGATGCACACCTGTTCATCTCCCCACACCTGCCTACCCCCACCCCCAATCACCTGTGCAAGGGTCTCAGAGAGACCTTTTAGGATAGAGGACCACCCCTTTGATTTTCTGAGAATGTGTCAGTCTTTGTGGAAGCAGACTGGTGGCTGGTGGGTCTGAACTGCTGTAAAAGTGATCCACACCAGATCTCAGCCACTAAGCAGGTCACTGCTGCCACCACAACCACTCCCCCTTTGCCTGCCACCTAGAGCCAACCTAGACACAACCAGTGCCCAGTCAGCCCTAGCCGCCTTCCACCCCCACCCCACATCCTCAGGACCTTGTAGCACATCTCTCAGGTGCTCACAGTTCTAGCAGGACACAAACTCCTCCTGGTCCTTGTCCTCTCCCACTCAATGTCCTTTCCTGGACACCAGTGTCTTTGGGGACGGTCCACACTAATGAGGTCAGCTCCCCAGCTCCCCTGTCCCCCTATGCCATGGTTTTCCAGAACATTCTGCAGCCTCCTTCAGCCCCTTAGCCAGGCATCTGCCCACCTCATTCCCAGCCGGGATTCAGACTTCTACTGATGTCCCCACTGCCCCCAGACCCAGGCTGAGGTGCCTCTGAAACCTCCATGCCCGCTGCCCCACAGGACCCAGCCATTGCCCCCACCAGGCTCAGCACAGCCTCTGAGTTCATGCCCTTCTTTTCTCTGATCCATGCCCCCCTGCCCCAACCAGGTAGCCCGCGTACAGAGATGAGGGCCTGTATCTGAGCTGGAGTCTCTCTCCTGCCCACTTGCCCATCACTGAGACCACTCAGGAACCACTCACTTTGTACTGTGCCCACAGAGGGGACCCCATGCCTCCCTGCCTCTGAACGTTCGAGCATGCCAGCCCCTCTGCCTGGAATGTTCTTCCAGCTCCGTAGCTGGATGCAGGGTTGGGACATCTCGCCACTTGCTCAGGAGTGGGAGACGCATGGCCTGTTTTCAGGGGTCTGGCAGGTTCCAGGTATGTGTGGGGGAAGAGGGGGCAGCAAGAAGGTGGCCCAGGTTCTGCCCCTGGGGACACTACCTGAGCTCACTGTCCCCACTGAGCTATCAGGGGTGTGGAGCTGATGGCTGGGTGCAGAGAGCTGAGAAGGGGTCCTAGGGAAGAGAGAGTGGGTGCCCAGGGACCCCTGGGAGGCAGATGGCATTTCCTGGGTAGGGACAGGCTAAGGGAAGGGACAGGGCCTCTGGTGTTGCCCAGAGTAACCAAGATGGGCCAGCAGAAGCCTTTGTTTGGCAGCTGAGTGTGACCCGGCCACCTGCTCGGGGGCCCAGAGCCCGGCCACCCACTTTTCACTGTGCCCTGAGACTACAAGCACTGGGGCCCATAAGGACCCAGGGAGCCCACTCCCTTCCCCCTAGGCCCCAGCCACATTGCCCAGCTCTGTTGGAGAGAGAGCAGATGACCTATCCACAGCCTGCTGTCCTCTGGAGAGCCCCTGCAGGCCCTAGGGGCTGTTCCATACTCAGCAGGGGGTGGGGAGGTGCTCCTGCAGGTCCTGGGGACCTTCCCCTACTCTAGGGACCTCCTGTGGACCCTGGGGACTGTCCCTCCCCTGGAGAGGTATTACAGGCTCTGGGGGCTGTCCCCTCCCAGGGAACCCCCATGGGGCCTCATCCAGGGGAGCAGAGCCTGAGAGACTCCTGGAGGGAACCCCTGAGGAGGGAGCCAGTGTGGAGACACACCAGGCAGGGGCGTGTCTGGAAGATTCCAAGAGGAAGACCTGAGCCAACCCCCCACTCCTGCCCCCACCACATGCAGGTCATGGTCGTGGGCGGCAGATGTTTCCTGGACTGTCTGGAGGCTGGAGGTTTGTGGTTCAGATGCCTTCTGAATCTGAACTGTCTCCTGATGGTTCTGGAAGCTTCTAAGGGGCTAGAGGTGTCCACCGAGAGCACAAGCCCCACTCCCTGGGGTCTCCGGTCTCCCTTTAAGGGGCCTGGACCACCTTTATGTGGTTAGCCTGCCACCCACACTCACACACAAATCCACACTCACACCACTCAATTACACTCACACTCACTCAGTCA